TGTTTATGCCATTGCAGTGTTTTGGAGAAGCTTTCGCTATCATTGGATTGTTACCTGGCTGGGACATGGGTGTAGGTGTTCTAAACATTTGAAAAACTGGCTTCTTCACAAGAGATGTTCCTGTGGGGTGTAAATGAGTGGGGTGGGGGGTTAGTGCAGAGGGCTGAATTGATGCATAAAAGAAATTTTATGTGTAGACTGTTTCAATACCGGGGATTACACAGATGTTATCAGCTGAGTGTTTGTGAATACATATCAAATTTTGGGCCTCTCACTCCTGTTTAATGATTCCTTGACACAAACCATTTATCCACTAGAAGCCTAGCTAAAAAAAAATATTTACTGGCTTAGTTAGGCACCAGGGTGTTGGAGGCTAAGTACTATTAGGGGTGCTTTCTGGTAGAGGATTTTTTTTAAACTGTTAGGGTATCTGCATATGCTTAATTTGTTCTCTGTGCCAGAAGCCCTGTGCTGGACATTATCAGGACTGAGAACAAACATATCCACAATAGGTTGTGTCATCTTTACAGGGTGTACCAATGACTACTTTATTTTGATTTTGCAGTACAAAGGCCTGATCAGTATGCCATTTTATTTCTATTGTCTAGAAGCCACGAAGAGTATTTTTTTCTCACTTTTCAGATGACAGGCACAATTAACAATGTATTACTTGTTTTATGAATTTCATCTCATTCCTTGAATTGTATTCCCCTCCTTGGAGGTTCATGTTAGCTCATAAAGGCTCCTTATCTTTGCCAGGACTGTCAATGGTACAGCCAGTTTACAGAAGGTAAAACTGTAAAGGTTCATACTGGGAATATTAATTAGAATTGCAACTGTTCTTGTAATAGCAATACTAATCACACTGTTGAGATTATGCGCCCACTGCATTAGTAATACGATCTGTTACTGATGAGTTTTTAATTTAGTTTTAAACAGTTTTAAGTTGGAGGTCATAGGCCAAGAAGCAGCATTTTGTTTTCCCATTAATAATACAAACTATTATAAAAGTAATACATATATATCATTTAAAACAGATGTCCTCATTCTACTGTATTGAATTATGTTGTTGTATTCTATTTTAGCCTAGCTAAGCAATGGTTTTGCAAAAAAGGTGAGGTCTCCAAAAGTTGTGTATCTACAGGTGTGGCATTGCGTGGCAATACCACGGTGTTATGTGGCCTCAAAGTGACCCAGGATTCTCATCCAGAGGGGCTGGTTTTTCCATCCTTTCCAGGTTTTCTGGATCATAGTTGGGATCCTGGAGCCGGGAGATTTGGGTGGGATGAAATCTCCATTCCTGGGTCCATGATTTAGTATTAACCAGGACCTAATTGTGCACCTGTGTCCAACCCTCATGAAAAGGGTGCTGGGATGTGTTGGGTGCCCCACCTGGGAGACAGGAGAACTCCACCCAGGAGTCAGAGTAGAGTCCTGTGCAGCAGGGAGCTGTGGGTTTGTGAAACCGATTGTGCAAGTTAGCAAGTTACTGAGGTTGTCTGGAGGAAACAGAGAGTGGCCCTGAGGCTTGAGGCCAGAGCAGCAGTGCTGCAGAGAAAAATGCTAAGGAACTGGGACACTGTGAGTGTGTTGGACAACTTGAGAATTGGTGAGCCAATACTGTATATGTTGTTATGCTGAGGACAAGCTATTTTATGTTGGACTTCGTTGGTTGTCTGCCTTTGAAAAAAAAAACAAAGACTTTTTGTTTATGGAAAAGCCCTGTGCAAGTGCTCTGTGAGCTCCCCAACATTACACAGGAGACAACCAGAGATGTCAATATGAACCTTAGTACAAAAAGGTCAGTAATACCTCCTAACCTACACAATTTAGAGCTTGTAGTATGGGTTGTCTAAAAGCTTTTTCTCATGCATGGTCATTTGAATTCATTTTCATGTAATGTTACTGGACAGTAATAATAATAACTAAAAAAAAATCAAAAGTATTTGTTTATTTTTGGTGAAAGAATGTAATTCTTACTGTCTGACAGGAATAAGGGGGAATAATTTTGGTGCAACTGACTTTGTAAAAAAAATTACCTATGTTTTGCCAAAGTAAAAACTCTCAATTTTGTCCATTGAGCTTTTTTATGTGAATTTACTTGACAAACAAAAACCATCTCATCTTACTTTTTTCCTTAAAGAGTATATTTTTAGGGGGTGGGTGTTTTAGGGTAGTTTAGTTTGTTTAGCTAGTGTTCTTTGTATTTGTGTTTTTTCCCTTGTTTGTGTGTATTTGAGTTTTCCTTGTGTACTGTTGCTTTAAATGTTTTTTTTCCCCAGTGAAAAATAGAACACTAAATAGGAAATAGTGAATAGTGAATAATAGAAGAATTAATTTGAATAATAATGAAGAATAAAGAATAGGAAATTATACTGACCTAGGGCCATTTAAGGCAGAAATGTTGTGCCAGTGGCTACTGGATGTATCTACAGTATGTTTGCGTAATAAAATAATTTGCTGGAGGTTTCTTGAGTGCAGGCTCATTTCTTATTTTGTCTCATTTACCTTTGAAAGGAAGGATTATCCATGCATTGAGTATGGGATGTGATTAAAACAAGCTTTTTGGGGGGCCATTTAAAGTCTACTGCACCCTTAAAAACTACCAAATACCACATTCATGTTGCTTATCTATTTTTTACAGTGTTCTTTGCCAAAATAGAGGCATTTTGCCAATCTCTCTTATTATTACAGAAATTGTAGACAGATCTGAACTTGCTCATCCTTGCTGTGTAATAATCTAGTATCCACAATTTGTTTGCACCAGTGTCTGACCACATTGCTGCAGTGAATTGTGCTAAAAAGTATTTGTGTACAAACAAAACAAGTAATACAACAATTAGGTGCAAAGAACACTGATGAAAAGTAACTCAAAGCAGCCAATCCAATTTTAGCTTTAAGCAGACAAATAAAGACAGCAATCTAACAGATTTATGACTTAGCATGGCCATCGGTGGCTTGACTTTAGGACAAGTCCTGTTAACACCACCTGGCTCCACAAGTCGATGTAAAAATTGACTGAGCCAGGTACAAAAGTATCTGCCGAACAGTGACTACATTCTCTCAAATGCAGTCACTGTTCATCAGCAACACCCCAGATAGCAAGAAATTGTGCTGCAAGTTTGAAAATGACTTGCTAAACTCTTGCAGACTTGCCAAGCTTCACAATTTTGTTGCACAATTACAGCAAGTCTGCATTGCAAGTCTCCAGACCAGCGAGCTTGCAGAGCTCTTGCTAAGACCTGCAGGACTCTTGCTGTAGACTTGCCAAGCAAATTTGTGTCAACTAGAACCTGTGCTGCAAGTGTTCTGCAAGTCTACAACTTGCCAGGAATATGTGCAGCAAGTTAACAAAATTACAATTTAACCCCGGCACAAGTTTGTGGCAAGTTATCCTTGCTATCTGGGACTGCATTCAGTCAGCTGTGGGGGCCATGGGTACTGAATACAATAAGCCAAACAGCAGAAATCCCTCCATTCACGTGGCTGACGGAAGCATTTGATGTTCTCTCATACAGTCCAGAGACTGAACAAGCAAAAAATCAAACTGCGCACTGTATGGTTAGCTTTAGCTGCAACATATTTCTGATTTTTACATGATTTTACATTATTATAATCAGTAATAACCAAGACCAACTAATAAGTGGGAACGTGGAGCTTTGCCTAACTGTACTAAGTGGCAGTTACAAGCCTATATAAAGTTGTAACGTCCAAATTAGCCAGCACTGGAATATATTGAATGCTTTTATATTATAGAGAAAAATGTTGGCAATCATATTGCAGTGTCTTTTATCACAACATGAGCTTGACAAAGGGAATTTTGATGTTCAATCTGTTGCTGTAAATTAATACTTTGTCTTTGCCTCCTGAAATTACCTAAAGACAAACTATCATTTATTTACACAAGTACTTATTTTGAGCCATTATTGTAACATTTAGCTAAATATATGTCCACAAGATTTTCACATTTACTTGCATGCTGAAGGGCATTTTTAAATTTTATTATTTCAATCAAACATTGATTTGTGAGTGCTCCCTCTACTAGTCATTTGTAGTTCAGGTAATATGAATAGCAAACATTGCTTAACCATTTCCAGTGGGTTCACGTAAATGTACGTCCTCCACTAGAAGTGGCTTTACCAAGAACATGGCTGCTGCTGCATTTTAAACAGCAGGCGATTGCTGTTTAAATACAAGTGATCCAGCGTATTTTGGTGCGGCGCTGTGTCCCCCTCCCGCCGTCAGCTTCACAGGCTCCACTGTCCCTCGTATGAGCCGGGGACTGGCGTGGAGGGTCTCCCCTGACAGATCGTAGGATAGATCCACAGCTTCTAAAGCCAGAAGAAGCAGCTGATTAAGCAGATCTCTGGTTCATCAGCTTCTTTGGGGTCCCTAGGTGACATTAGGGGTCTGAAAGACCCCTGACGTCTCCATAAAGAGGACCTGTCACATTATATTTGCTATTACATAGGGGGCATTGCAGGATTATTCATCCGTCATTGCATAGGTATTTTGCCAAAAGTGCCATATTCGGCCAGAATGTTTTCGCGGACGAAATTTCAGTGCATCCCTACTAAATATACCTCTGTTTTACTGAGGATATTTAATATATTAGACACACTAAACCAGAAATAAGTTTGAACTCAGATAGAGGGTCTTTAAAAGTGAACTTTTGTACTTTGCCTAAGCAGGTTAAAGCAAGAGGTAACTTTAATGCCAGCCATCTCAACAGCTTATACTTCCCTTCCCTGCCATTCTGTTCAACCAATAGTTCAAAGTGAGGGGAGGCAGCCTTCTGTAAGCTCTAAGTCCCAGCTTAAAGGTTACACAGAGCTCATAATCCCCCCCCCCTGCAGTGTGAGTGTGGCAGCACCAGGTGCCTGAGTGGTCAATCACCAAACACCAGCACTGTCTCGTGGAAGGAAGGGAAAGTAACTCACTGGCTCACCCACACACCTGCAAATGCCAGGCTTATTTTACAGTAAAAAAAGACACCTTACCTTTTTTATTGTATCCAGCATGGACTTTCCTCCATTCCAAGGTTTGGTTGATTTTCTCATGCAGTTCAAACTTGCCATACTGTGCCATTTCCTGTCTTCCAGTTTTCTATGGAATGCATTGGCCAACATCAGTACACTGTCATACAGATACAGATTGGACACCTGCAAGCAATGCACACATTTAGTTCATTTTTTCACACAAAAAAAATGAAACAACTATGTTAGAGATACATTAAACAGATACCATATTACCATATGCATTAATAGTCCAAGATGGGAGCTCTAGGTTTTGACTGATCTACATTTGTTAATTTTGGATAGCAAGTCTATATGAGACCATATCAGTATATGAATGAAAAGCATAAACCACATTTTTCAACAAGTTGTTAATGGTTTAGTCATGTAGAACTGGTAAACACAGTGGCCCTGTTCTTTAAAAGAGAAATAGAAAAGGCATGGGAATCTTGCATTCAGCAATTAACTTAGCTAGCTATAATTTTTGAGCCTGCAAAAATGTCTTAAAGAGGAACTTCACTCAACCAAAAAAAACCTTTCCCACATTGCATTCCGTTCCCTCCATAGGATAAAGTAGGTGGAGGATAAAGTACATGGAGGAGTTTCTTTACATTTTTTTTTTTCAGTCCAACCTTCCCCCCATCTATAGTCTCGCCTAGATGAGAGTAACGTGCCCCTTCCTCTAGGAGCCTTCTAGGACCGTCATATATCCCAAAAGGCTTCAGCCTCTACACAGCATTAGGGGAGCACAGGCACAGCTTTGTAGGAGGGTGGACCTGGTGCTAATCATCAGACGGCCGGCTGCCTGAACCTGGAAGATGACCTAGGAAAAGCAGATAGTGGAACAAGACCCAGCGTGTAGCAGCTGAGTGGTGGATGAAGACAGAGCAACACTGGATTCACTGGGTGAAAATGGGAATTCATGATAAAAGGTAAGAAGCTTAAAAACTAGTTAACATAGGGGCCCATGTGGCTGGGGGAGGGGGTGTGAAGTAATTTCTTAACAAATCAGCTCACACACAAAGCATAAGAGCATGCAGGAAGTTCTGGTCTGATCTTTTATATTTGACCAAAAAACTGGGTAATAATAAATGTTTCCTAACATAATGTTACAAAAAACGTTTTTTTTTCAAAATTTTCAATAATTTTTCCTAATTATAATAAAAAATAAAACCCGTAGTGGTGATTAAATACCACCAAAAGAAAGCTCTATCTGTCCCCAAAAAATGGTATAAAATTAATTTCAGTACAGCGTTGCATGACGTAATAAACGTCAGTCAAAGTATCGCAGCGCTGAATACTGAAAAATGGCCTGGCCAGGAAGGGGGTCTAAACACCTGGTCTTGAAGTGGTTAATTAGAAAGTCCAGCATGATTTGTAAGTAGAGTGCTTTGGAAGTATCTTGTAATGATCAGTTAGTGTTCAGTTGTGAAGATTTAAATGATAATAATAATAATAGTAATAATAATAATTAAATCTTGTCCTAGATCATGCACACTAAATATTTACATATTGTGAACAAACAGTACAAGCTTTTTAAAAACAAGCCTTTATGAGATTAAAGTAATAATCAAGGTTCACAATACGGATATTGAAATCTTGGCTTTTTTCTATGAGAACATATTTTGGCAGACTGCAAACCCTCTAATGTAAACAAGCAGCAGGTGTTTCTAAGCACTCATTCACATGTGTGATTCGGGCTGGACACTGGATAGATTGTGCCCATGGTTGGATATTTATTCCTAACCCCAGAATGTTGGATTTGCAAACAGCATACATCTGTGATCCCAGCACAGGAATCTGCAGTTTTTTTGTCACAGGAACATGTTGCCTAGCCCTATTCACATGTGTGAATGAGACCTAAACTGTTAGAAATTGACTGAAACCTGACTTGAGAATCTTTGTTGTGATCTTTGAGGATCTTTGAAAATGAATACCTTCACATTAAAAACAACTAGAAATGTCATGGATGGCATGAAAACTCTTATACTGCTTGTTTCAAATGTGTAAATGGTTCAACGTCCACCTGACTGTTTGTTACAGATTATATAAAACATCACTTTAAATACTTGGACATTTTTGAAATAACTGTAAAAGATTAAATGCAAGAGTTAAATGCGCATTAGGGCTAGTTTAAAAACAAAACAAAGATACTGTATACTCATCCAGAGCTCTGAGCCGGCTTCTTCTTAGACCGGTCCTTTCAACATCTCTCCCCCTTCTCTGCAGCGCTCTAAGGTCCCATAACTCATCAACATCTATACACGTACATACATGTATAGATGTGAGGATGTTGAGGAAGATTACAATGCTGAAGGGAAGGGGGAGACAGGCAGGAGGCAGCGCCATGACAGCTGGCTGGCTCAAAGCTGTAGGCGAGTATATCTTCCTGTTAAAATGAAAAGTAACATTCTCGGAGTTGATCTTTAAGGCTCCACAATTATAGATGAATGGCAGGCTGTTCTGACTGGCAACATTTTGTTACATCCTGGTGGTGCTGAAGCTTGCCTACTTCATCCCATTAGCTGATCGGAATGACCATAAGACAGATTTGACACTGCCAGCCCAGCATTTGGGTGGAGACATATATATATCTATATATATCTATATATATATATAGATATATATATGTATATATCCGACAGTAACTTGCTTTTTTTTCCAATGGCTAAGTTGATTTAATTAACAAGAGTCAGATTCTATTAATCTTCTATATCCAAAGTCATTTTATTCCACCGAGAGCACAAAGAAAACAAAAAAAGAAAGCACACATTGTCTTTTGAATTATTTATCATTTTTATTCTCCGGTATTAATCAGCTTAATTTTTTCCTTCTTGCTTTTTTTGGCCATTTTAAATATTTGTGTTTCTAGATGATTTTTTTCCTTATTACATCAACCAAAAAAATGGATTGAAAAGTTAAATAAAAATGTGTTTTAATGCATTTCCAATATTTTTTCATTTCCATCTTAAATAAACAGAAAGAGCAAACTGCAGCATGTTCCACATTTGCAAATGGAAAGACAATTTAAAGGGATGTTAACAAATTAACATTTTGCATAGTCTATGAAAAAGGAAGACCTGCATAGCAATGACAATTCTATATTTGTGTGGAAGATTTAAATATAAAAGTGTAGAATAAGAGTAAAAGATTCGTAAGATAGAAGGTGGGAAACCTTTGGTCATTACTATGTAAAAAGTGCAGCAATCACTGCATTTTTTTAATCTTTACTAAATAAATTCATGTAAGCTTTAGATTTTAAAGCGTTTATAAAAATAAAACTATTTATTAATTTTGGATAGAGAAGGTAATAGTTAAGACCACAGATCTTCTTAATTTATATCCCAGACACACCTTAATTGATTGGAAGACTGCTCATTACCTCTGGATCTTGTGGAAACTCTAAAATCTTGTATTTCCCATTACTTTCAGTACAAGAGAAAATGGCCATCAGAACAAATAGAGATGGTACATTTCCCTACCAGGTATATAAACTATAAAAACCTGACATGGATTCTAAAGCATACCTAAAGCCAACACCTTTTTTCTTTTTAAAACCGTAAAATGGTTAAAACTCGTCAAGCTTCTCCCCCCTTCATTTTGGAACACGGACAGCAAAAAAATTGGACATTAGTTCTAGTTTTTCCCTACTGTTTTCATAACAGTTAAAGCGACACTAAATGCAGCAGTTAAATCTTAAAAATGCATTCAAGTACCTAACTATTAACTATACTTAATTTGTGCATCATTTAAATGTAGATCCTTAAATTAATTCTGAATTCATGCAAACAGTTTCCTTCCGTTTGGAGGATGGCTACTTTACAACACAGGAGTGAGCTTGGAGCGGTGGCTACATTACAACAAACACAGGGACCATTGGGAACAAAAGTAGCCACCCTCCAGAAGGAAGGACAGTGTCAGCATGATTTCAGAGATGGTTTAAAAAGGCAAGGAAGAGTTAGAACTTCTAACAATGTTGATATTGCTTTCTGTGCCGCCCTGTCTCAGTGACAACAGCCCCTCCCCCTTTTCTCTTAACAAGGACAGGAAGTGATGGAAAAAAATGGATCAGAGAGAAAAAAGCTGATCCAAATATGTTTTTCTTCCCTGCTGGTGTTAGCTTACTGGAGGGCTTTTCCAAAGATGTTGGAGGTTGAAGAGCAGGTTTCTGTCGTAGATACAAGACTTTGAGGATTTTTCATGACAGAGCCAAAGGATCTAGCCATAGCTTAGGCTACTTCTTCGGGTCACTTCGGCTGCTGGAGCCCTTCTGTTCAGTCGAACCAAAGGGCTACTGTATGGGCTATTCATAATAGCCTATACAGCAGCCAAAAGCAGCCGAGTAGAACGCATATGCTTTGGCCCGTCTTAGCCGTAGTCAAAGCCGAAGCAGGAAGATCGGTCTGCCAAGCCAATCATTCTCCCTGACAACTGACAACTAGGCGGTGCCAGCTGTGATGTCAAGGCTGGATCCACCAAGTTGTTATTCAATGACAGCCCAACGTCCTCAAGGACACTGGGCTGTCATTAAATGACAAGAACTGGGCAGAGCCAGACATGATGTTGTGACACTGGACATGAAGTTCATTTGTCCGGGACCTGCGGGAAGACTCTGGCAGGTGCCGGCCGAATGTAAACAGTGTCAGGGTGCCCACTTGTTAAAGGTGTACTCTGATCCAAATAAACCCCCTGCCTTCAGACCCCCACAATAGGAGGGAAACGGCAGAGAATAGGGGCGAACGGCAGGAAGCAAACCAAAGTCAGCTGATGTATGGCTGATTTTAGACTATGTATGTCTGAAATCAGCCGTACAGAGCCCAAGTGAATAGCCGAACGCTGTTCAACTCAGTTAATTTTGGCTCGATTATTCCCTGGGCTGCCTTTGTCAGCTTAGAAAATAACCCTCTTTGGCTCCAAAACACCAGTTACCTTCTACCATGAAAAGTTTAGTTTACTAATTTTTATTGAGATTTTAGTCCATCATGGGAGTGGTGGCTACTGTACAACACACACAGCGGCCATGGATAACAAAAGTAGCCGCCCTCTAGAAGAAAAGACAGTGTCAGCATCAATTGATACACAAATAAGGTACATTTTGCTTTACATACCTTTTAAATATATTTAAACTTTAAATCAGGCTTGTCAAT